TTTTTTATTGTTTATTGTTCTTTTAGTATTAATGAATTGAATTATTACATTACTTAGGCATATTAATTAGCCCATTTTCTTTTGAATTATCCCTCAATAAAGGATTGGAATTTAATTATTATTATTATTACTAATATGATACACTTTTATATTTAGTTTCATTTGTTTGATTTTGTATTTGCAATGTTTTACTTTTATTATTATTGAAATGAATGTAATCATTGTATTATATTTTATCCTGTAATGTTGTTCAGTGCTTGACTGTTATTGGCCTTACCTGGCTGTTGTCAAGCACTTAAATAAATTAATTGAATTGAATTGAATTGAATTGAATTGAATTATTAGTAGTGAGTATGTGTAACTATCGAATAAACCCTGTAACACAATGTTTTCTGACCATTTAATATGTGCTTTACCTTCTGATTACTAAAGCCAAGACATAATCAGCTGAGCCATTGCCACTGCTTTGGCACGAACATGCCAAGTAAACTGATGTGGATGTCGTTGATTTCATATTACATGGAGACTATACTATTAAAGTGATAATTGTATTGGATAAATCCTTTTCATAGTAATGGTTTTGATAGTTTAAGGAAGAAAATCTTTAACAAACAGCTACTGTAATTTAATATTGTTTTTTTGGAATTTGTCCATTTTTTGATGTTCTAAAACAGAACTGCTATATTTTGAGAGCTGGTGAAATTACCTATTCTATTGGGTCCCATAGAAAAGTCTTATTAATCTCTTTGGATTAGTTCCACTTATGGGACCAGAGCAGATGTAGTTCCCAGATCGTAATGATCTTGTTTTAAAATATCAAGTGACGGATCATGTAAAGAAATACAGCAATAGTAAATACACTCCACCATCTTCAGGCTCCTTTAATGAAGTTCTGCAGCTGCTATTAATTTGATTCAGTCCAATTGCATTGATAATTATTCCATTTCATGCAGTGAGAGAGCACAGTCAAGACTCATAATGAGTATGGTTATTTTACAGGCCTCCATCACTTTACGGAAACTTGTACCTGATTCTTATGGTGAAACGTGTCTCGAGTCTTCTTATGATGACAATCAAATCATCGATATCAAATTTGAGGATGTCGGAGGTGTGATAGAGGAGGAGGATCCTCTTCTGATAACATCTCCAGTAATAACGGCGGAGCTTGAGGTCAGTTGTTTGAGCATTGTTTATTCACGTTGCATCTCCATTTGTCTGTCCACATGAAGCAATTCTGCTCTGCTGTATAGATCTTGAAGTGTCTGTTGCAAAATTGTGCAAGGGAATTTTAATTTTTGCTTACTGTTTGTGGAATATCCCTTCTGTTTTGTGTTAAATTTATTTTAAGACATGTGATATTAAATAATGAGAAATACAAGAAGTGCTTTAAATAGATGTTGCAACACAACACTTTGATAGTTTGTCCAGACTTTCCAGTAAGCCTTGTTTTGATGCTATTTATTCCCATTGAATTCTATGCTCATATTTGAGGGTCTGTGAATGTTTGAAGGTTTTCTCCAGCCGTCTTTTTTACCTTTTCATTCTCTCTTCCTTTAACCTTGTTGCGGCGTGTATCACTACAGCGGCATAGACCAGCCATTTCCATTAAGGACATTTAACAGGATAATTAATTTTATAATTAATATTTCTTGATTTGTTATGTAACTATGTTGGACATTCTTAATTTTCTGAGGTATTATATTGCCTTGATTTTAAGACTCCATCAACGTAAGACTCACTTGATTTAATGGTAGGTATTTAGGGAGGGGGGAAACTTTTCAAAATCGGCGTTATTCTGAATCGGCACAAATCGAGGGCTACCTGTAAAAGTTTCCTTTGCATACAGTTAAGCTTTCGCTGTGACTGAAGTTGATAAAAGATTCCCGGGCCACAAGCCGCATCAGGTGGCCGAACGTCGAACAAACCACACCCCCGCCAACACCTCGAGAACAACCCCTGCCCCCACCCCCAGGGCCAAAACCAACAAATGTAAAATGCATTGTCAGTATTCTTGTCTTTGGTAATTCATTGTGATTTACTGGCAATTTTAGACTAGCAGCACTTTCCATCAACCTGACTTCATATATAAAGTGGGCAAGGAGGGAGGAATGTTAATGTGATGCTCTGCTCAGTATTTCTGTCCAAAACCCACAAAATGTAATTTAATTATTGTGTGTACTTTATTACTAATGTGTACATGTAACTATCGAATAAACCCTGTAACACAATATTGTGTGACCATTGAATATGTGCATTACCTTCTGATTACATAAACCAAGCCATAATCAGTTCAGGCATTGCCACTGCTTTGGCATGAACATGCCAAGTAAACTGATGTCAATGTCTTTGATTTAATATTACATGGAGACTATACTATTAAAGTGATAATTGTATTGGATAAATCCATTTCATAGCAATGGTATTGAAAATTATAAGGAAGAAAATCTTTATCAAACAGCTGCTATGATTGAATTTTGTTGTTTTTCTGTACTTTGTCCATAGTGTGATATTTTGGTCTATAGTTTGATATTCTAAAACAAAACCGCTATATTTTGAGAGCTCGTGAAAATAGCAATTCTGATAGGTCCCATAGAAAAGTCTTATTAGTCCCTTGGGATTAGTCCCTCCTGTGGGACCAGAGCAGATGTAGTTCCCAGAATGCACTGATCTTGTTTTAAAATATCAAATGATGGATCATGTCAAGAAAATCAGCGATTTTAAATAAACCCCACCATCTTCAGGCTCCTTTAAGGATGTTCTTTAGCTACTAATAATTTGATTCAGTCCAATTGTATTGATAATTATTCTATTTCATGCAGTAAGAGAGTACAGTCACGACTTATAATGAGTATGGTTATTTTACAGGACTCCATCAATTTACAGAAAGTGATACCTGATTCTTATGGTGAAACGTGTCTCGAGTCTTCTTATGATGACAATCAAATCATCGATATCAAAGTTGAAGATGTCGGTGGTGTGATAGAGGAGGAGGATCCTCTTCTGATAACATCTCCAGTAATAACGGCGGAGCTTGAGGTCAGTTGTTTGAGCATTGTTTATTCACGTTGCATCTCCATTTGTCTGTCCACATGAAGCAAATCTGCTCTGCTGAATAGATCTTGAAGTGTCTGTTGCAAACTAGTGCAAAGGAATTGTATTTTTTGCTTACTGTTTGAGGAATGTAGCTTCTGTTTTGTGTTATATTTATTTTAAGATGTTTGATGTTACATATTGAGAAGTACAAGAAGTGTTTTAAACAGATGTTGCAACACAACACTTTGATAGTTTGTCCAGACTTTCCAGTAAGCCTTGTTTTGATGTTATTACTTCCCATTGAATTCTATGCAATGGCAAACCACTTCTGGATCATCTGCCAAGAACGTATATGAACAGGTCCCAGTCCGAGAAAAGGATCGAAGGATCCTGTTCATATGGACCTGTCGTCAGACAGAACAAAACAAATTAAAAAAAAATTAGTTTGGGGAATGCTGCATCAATTGTTAGACACCAACAAATGTAAAATGCATTGTCAGTATTCCTGTCTTTGAGTGATTCGTTGTCATTTACTGACAATTTTAGATTAGCAGCAGTTTCCATCAAATGCGGTGTTCTCCAGTAGGTTTAAGTGTGCATTACTCTTTACTAAAGGAAAGGATAAGCTGAATCTTTGGGTTACTGTCTGAAAGTTCCTCCTTCACATATTCATTATTAGGGTTAATATTGAATGATGAACAGATATACGTCCCTCAGAGCCATCTGAAACTTAAGATATAAGCGAATTTTAATTAATCTTGTTGCTGTATCACTGGCAGGTGATTGTGTAATTGCTTTGTATGTATGTGAAACATGGTCTCTCACTTTAAGGGAGGAACATAGATTGCAGATGTTTTAGAATAGGGTATTGAGCCAGATATTTGGGCCTAGTAGGGAAGATGATGGGGTATGGAGAAATTTGCATACTAATGAGTTTAAAAATTCATATTACTACCTCAGTATTATCAGGGTGATAAGTCAAGAAGAATGAGATGGGTGGGGCATGTAGCGTGCATGGATGGGACAAGAGGTGTTCACCGGGTATTGGTTGGGAAGCCTGAGGGTAAAAGACCGCTGGGCAGACCTAGATGTCGATAGGAGAATAATCTCAGGTGGGATCAATGGGAGATAGGAGTTGAAGGAGACTGGATTTTTTTGACTAAGTTAATTCAATGATGAACCTTAAGGATCCATAAGTCATCTAGCGCCATCTAGCTAGTTATATATAAAATTGTCCCTACAAATTCTGTTGTTTTCTATGTATAGTAACATCTCAAAGAATATTATTTTTGTGTGTACGTAAAATAATATTCATTAAAATTAAATATTGTTGAGCATAAATCTACCATTCATACAATGTCATTGTTACTTTGTAAATTAGAATGATATAACTTCATCAAGGTGAAGGAGTCATTGCCCCGATGACAGAGGCAACAAGCACCTCTGAAACGTCAGTAAACTTCTGTCAGATTACGAGGAAAACAACCATCTTCATACTAGGTTCTTGAGAAACTCAAATCTCAAGTAATGTGTCATATCCTCCAATTATCTGAACATCTTCAATTAATGTTCATGTTTTCTGAGTATCATATGTAATCAATTACTGACTTTGTTTCATTAACAGTCCACTGTCTTGCTTTGCTTCTCAAATTCAGGTATAATTTCTGTGTACATCATAAAACATTTTCAGTTGTCAGAATTGCTGCTTATATCCCAGTACATTGACCCCACCATACATTCCGAAACCTGTTTATGAAATTCATATCTACATGTTCTTATGAGATATGTGAAAGTCATTTGACGGACACTTGCATTATGAATACTTTCAGCACCAGTATATTACAAGATATTAATTCAGCTGCCATTTATAGGGCATTTTTGCTGCAATTTACCTGTGTGATGCACTCCCACAATCTGCCTGAAAAAATGTAATTATTTAATTATTTCAAAGTCAGAAATAATTATTAACATTGTACAGAACTTTGTTATTTGTCTCATGATGTTGGTGTACATTGATAGTTTTTTGGTGATTCTGCTGAAACCTATTGTTTCCTCTCTCTTAACTAGGATCTGAGCCATTTTTCAGCTATTCCTCGAATGCCATCATAATGTAATTTAGTTAACAAAATTTAATAATTTACACAGTTGGAATTTTTTGCTAAATCACAGTCTATCCTTCTAACCAGCATTTTTTGGCTGTCTGTCAGTTTGTAGGCTGTATCTTCAGTGGACGCACCTTTCCTGAAGCCAGATATTTCTTGGACCAGTGTGCATGTGATGACATAACCTATTGTATAAAACCTAACCTCACATTCTTCTGAAATAATAGTTAGGACTTCTGTTAAATGTATCTTACCCCTCTCCCCATTAATAATGTACCATGTTATTTTTATTTTATTACCAGATTTTGTTATTAGTCTACTGTAAAACTGCTTTTTAGCCTATTTTATAACATCATTTATGATTTTACAGTACTTAATATAGAATGCTCTTGATTTTCGGTGATAACTGTTTCTGCTGTAGATATGACTCCTCTTTCATTTGCAAGATGTTTTTAATCTTTGCTTAATCCAGTCATTCTTTATTTTGCTTATATTATTATATTTAATTAGAAAACTACGTTGATAGAAACTTAGAAAAATATACAAAATTGAGTTAATCTTATATTTTGATATTGTGTTCTTTTAAAAGAGAAGTTACCTGCTACAGCAATATTATATTAATGTGAAATATTACATTATATTATATTATTCATAAGCAACTGGATTTTATGGTCTGATTTGTAATATTTTATTGGGGAGGTAGATGATGAACTGAACCTTATACTTGCATAATGCTTCCCTCCTAACTGAATCATAGGCTTTCTTGGAGGCTATTAATAGCTGATACGTCCTTCATTGTACTCCTGATTTTTTCTAGTACCTCAAAAAAGCAGAATGTCTAATTACATAAGAATCTTCAGTGATGTTCCCAAATATTAACCTTGACAGAGAATGTTGTATTTAGAATGAAATGGTTACCCCCACATCATGAGGTCTTCTCTTTAATGCACAGCCAGAAGACGTTCTGTGATGTAGTTACTAGGAACCCGCATAATATGGACTTTTCCCTGATTTATTTTTAAGCACATTTCAAACTGAAGGCTATAGAAATTTACCTTTTAACTTCACTATACCTATTCATCTGTCCATATGTAAGACCTTTAGACAAACAGCTAATTAGATTTTCAAGAAATTTTATGGTAGGGATTTTTCTATTTGAAGAGACATTTCAGTATTGTTCATGTCATGATGGCAAGATCTGGTACTTTACATTAATGCCAACATCTGGTTTTGCTTATGAAGGTGACTTCAATGTAGTGGTGGAGACTCCTCAGCTAGCTACGCAACGAAACTGAGCAAATCTAAGTTGTCATTTTTCATACTGACATCATCAGCCATCCAAACAGAGGACAGGCACCCTACTCAAGCTAAGGCCACTTGCCCCAAACACCTCTGATGTCACTGGCATCATTCACAAAGGCCAAATTGCTGTGAATATGTCAGAATGGTTGCACTTGGCACACTTTTTTTTGGCCAATCCTACTTGTTCAGTGTTTATGAAATTCTGTTCTTGGGCTAAAGAAATTCATGGGTTACAAGAAGTTAATAAGCGTTTGTTGCAAGTTCACTTATATCCAACTAAAATCATAATTAATTTAGTAGGATGTGAGTGAACTTGAGGTTAAATTATTTCAGATTCTCCTTTCACTCTTATCTTGATTACTGTAGATTGAACCCAGTATATGGTTAACTAGACAGAGTGTCTGGATGAAAGGTATCCAAAATAAAAAAAATATATCTTGGAAACTAATTGTCACACACGTATCCGGTTTATGTCATCGGAA